TTCATTATTTTTCATGTCCACTTTCATCCTCTCCTTTCCTTGAAGCCTTCAAAAACCTCAGTAACAATATTGTTGCTAATACACTCAGCTTCCATAACCTGTGCTACTGAATACAATTTCCATTTGTGCACCTCGGTTTGTGTCCTTGTCAGAAGGAGTTCCCCAAAATGAGAGACAACTCTCTTGTGCATTCTTGTTGCAGTTAGTATAGCTTAAACATTACTCAACTATAATTATTAATAGAAGTAGCAACAGTAGAGATAGTAGCAGTATGAGGGGGAAGCACAGTGCAAGTTTTTCAAATAAGAAATGCAAAAGATTCAACATTTGGAGACCAATGCAACACTACTTATAATTACAAAAAAAAATTTTAATTTAAATCTAAAAAATAAAAACAAACAAACAAAAAGGCTTTAATGACAAACCAGCAAAGAAAACACACAAACTCATGTAACCATAGCTGTATGTACTTATAATTTTTGTTTTCATTTTAGCCTATATTCCTGACTGAGGTTCTGGCATACATGCATTGTCTTTGTGTCCTCTAGCTCATCATTTACGTTCATTCAAATCAATCAAAAAGAAAACAAGTGGATGAAAAGGAGTGCTGTACTCCATCTGAGTGCAGTAAGTTGGGGTTTTTTTAAGTCAAAGACATTCATGTAAAAGATAGAATGTGCATAGTTTTATTTCCCAAAACTCATAAAATTATGTGTAAAGCTCATTCCTCGCCAACAGCATAGAATCTGCTTTGTTGATAGCTATTAGTCCAATCCATGAGGATAATAAACAAAAGTTTTTACATATACAAAGTTCTAACCTCCAAGTCCCAGTTTATTACCAGGTTTTTTATTCCAAAGGATTAGAAGGGTTCCTTATCATAAGCAAAAAATCACATCTTTGAAATTTTAAGCACACTTTTTTTAAGCACTATATCACTCTGAGTGACTGAAAACATCAAAAAAAGAAGAGGTTAGCATTGCTACTAGTCCTCCTACAAGTGCCCTCCAACATCCTGTGCCCAAAAGCAGTACAGATTTGAAAACATAACATTAACCTACTGTCAAATCCATTGAAAACTGACCTCAACAAGCAAGAGTTCAGGAGCCGAATTCAAAAACAGGACACAACTTACTTATGACAAAGTTATTTTTTAGTTTATTATAGCAGGTCACTCACCAAATTCTTTTATCTGTTTGTCAATAACAAGAACAGCAATATTTGACTGACCCTGAGAGATGATTGGCAATAGGGATGCCATGTGGCAACAAAGCAGGATTCTAAATCTGAAGGTCAGTTGATGGATGGGGGAGAAAAACCTGAAAAACAGAGGTGCGTAAAGAGTCCTGCATAGCATCAAAATTATTGAGAACTGGACATGAAGGAGACAACAATGGAAAAGCAGGTGATTCTAGACTATTTTTGTTGTGACACAGAAGAGGGAAAATACATTGATTTCACAGTGAAACATTTGAGCAATAAAATGATGAGTGTGCCTAGCAGGCAAAGCCTTTCTAATTTGCCTGGCCTGAATTATGAGAACATATTTTTGGCCTGGCCTATACCACAAAATATGAGTAGAATTAAGTGCAGCCAAAGTAGCTGACAAGATGCTGGAGCAGAAGAGAACCTTCCCACAGAGACAAGAAAGTTGGGGTCAGCACTGGATTAGCTGACACAAACTGCATCTCGTGTTCCAGGGCTTAATCACTCCACTTAAACCTATCAGCGTGCAAAAGTAGCAACAGAAAAAATTATAAACTCTTTGTCATAGCCAGCTATGGCAACTAAGTGACAAAGAATGACTCAGTAATATTTCTTATTTCTTTCCCATGTATGAAGCTTTTAGAGAGCACTCCTCCCTTCTTATTCATTTACATCTAGATAAGAATTTGTGTAGTCAGAATTGTTACAGTTGTAACAGTTTGGTGGTAAGATATGTAAAATAAGCTATTTTTTCAATGTAGGAGCCCAGGGACTTATTCACCTATAGCCACAAAGGATAGGGATTCACTCCTCCTGAAACCAACACTGGTTTATCAAGTTCTCCAACAGAAGTAGTAAATACTGAAGTGAAAAAGAACTGATCTAACTCAAAATTATAATAGTCATAGAAGATTTTGGTTTTTTTCTTTTACTTAAAAAACATGTGCGCTAAAATATCAAGAAATTTTAAATTCCTTTACATCTGATGAGGTGAGGGAAGCAATTGTTAGGTACAGGATTTTTTTAGATCTACATTTTCCTTCAGGTTCTCACATGCTCTTGCATAAACATTTCCTGGCTCAAGATTGTGTTTGCTCACACCAAAGTTCTTCCACAGACGCTTTTACTTCCTGCTGCAAGGAAGGGGGAGGGAAGGCAGCATGCAGTGTAGCACCATTTATCCTCTGCAGACAAGGCTTGATTTAGAAAAGGACCAGTCACAACTTGCTGGGAACAAGAAGCCAAATAAATTATTTTACTGTTTGATTATCCACATCATTCAAAACCTGTGTCAGTGGCAATTGGCTTGCTTCCTGTCATGCTGGGACCTGGGTTGCACAACAAGTTTGTCTCGCAGAGAAATATGAGGTTTCTGGAATTGAAGGCTGCTGGAACTGCTAGTTTTCAAAAATTTTGTCTTGGACTGAGCACCTTAACTCCTCCCTGTTCTCTAGCACAGCAGCTAAAATGGAGTCATCCTGCTGCAGCCTGTACAGCCAGCAGCCTCCCTAGGGATCCCCCACACCCTTCCCCTCACATTAATGAGCTAACAAAGTAAATGGAAATAAATTAGCAACAAACTTATTCTGATAGATGTCAAGGAAGAAAAGAATTCCAAAGAGGAATTTAAACAGGGAAAAAGATATATGAGCTCAGCAGTTCATTGTAAGAAAGAGTGCTTGTGTAAGACACCACATTAAAAAAATAAAAGTTCTTATACAAAAGGCTCGTTAAAAAAAAAAAAAAGAAATAAGTCTCTAAGGCTTGCACCACTAATGGAACTGTGAGGAGGGATGAAAAATGTCAGCATTATCTCTGGCTCAGGAAGTCCCAAAACCATGATTCAGTAGAAGGTAGGAGAGTACACCAAGAAGGGATCATTACGTGCTTGACATTTTCTTATACTCTACCCCAGGCTGCTGTCAGAAACAGGATACCCAGCTAGACAGATGTTTAGTCTGATCCTGTATGACTGTTCCTCCTTTGTGATAGTAGTAAGACATAAATGTGGATAGGAAGAAAGTTACGTGCAACTCAGGGATCACATGAAACTTGGAGTTGATGCAAGCACAGCAGCTGACAGCGCAGAGATCCAAACCAAGGTGTGTCAGCTCTGGGCAGATTCTGATCACGATGGCCTTTCCCCCTGGGAGAAGTTCATACTGTCCAAAATAATTCTCATAGATTTTAGGATTAATCTAAAGGCATCTTTGGAGTCAAATCATCTCCCCTATCCTCCTCTGGTCTTTCAGTTACATATTTCATTCTTTAAAAATATAATATCTGTCCATAAATTACCTGGCATCATGCAGTTCCAATGTGGACATTTTCTGTGCTGCATTCTCTAGGTCTCTGCAAGAAAACAAGTCTTTCCAATGCCACTAGTCTCTCTGATACACAAGTCAAAACTTACTCTCAAAGTACAGCATTCATTATCCTGCCATCAAGTATTTGGGAAATCAAGCAAATATACAGAGAAATTCTGCAACATAGTGACAATGTCACAATGCCAACCATCATTTCTAAGTTGCACACAGATGGTCCAAATCATCACAGTTCAAATACAGCTGGAACAATTCCTAGTCAGGAAGAGTTTTACTTCCTCCTTTACTATAGACTAGAGTGAAATTAGGAACAACAGTCACAAGAAATTTTCTTTCAGCACAGCCATCAGAAAGACCACCTGTTCTTATTCCTGGCCATTTTAATTCATGCTCTTTCAGGCAAGTTTGCTAAAGAAACTGTATCTAGAAAATGTTATAAAACAATTGTAGCAAGTAGCCTATAGAGCAGCTTATTTGCTGTGACAAATTGCACAGAGCATGCTGCACACCAATACTCCATATTCTCTTCTGGGTCACTGAATTGATTCTGGTTCAAATCCCTGACAGATCATTTCATATGTAAAGACATTCAAGGACCAGCACTATTTTCTTTTAGCTCTAGCTCAGTCTAGCCTCTACTCTAGGAGCTAGGGTGGCCTGCAAGGCAATACGGAGCATGGATACAAGCCCATCCACACATTTCCTGGGTGAATATCTAGCTACTAAAATGTTATGTAAAAGGGAGCTGCTCCATTTTTCTGGCAGCAGCAGCTGCCGTCACTGCATTTCAGAAGGAGATTAAGCTGTTCAAGGATATTGTGTGCTCTGGGAACAGATCAGCAGTCCCAGGTAATTCTGATCCCATAGCATCTGCTTCCTGCATCCCAGTCAAGCTGCCAGAGCAGGGAACAAGCTCTGCCCCACAGAGCTGGTTTGGACCTTGGCTGCACCCATCATGGAACAGGAAAGCTGCTCATGGGATTTAGGTGTCACCTGGGCTAAATTGTAGTTAAGGAGGCACCCTCAGAGTCACAGTTTTGGACTTAAATAGCTTACTCTTCTTAATCTCAGGTTAAAAAGGGTATGTTCAGTGGTTTCTCTCAGCAGTATCACACATTCTACAAATGTATTGTTCAGCTGACGTAGAAAATTACTTACTGGTTGTGTGCACCATAGCCTGATCCCCAAGATGATTCTTCAGGATAGGTAGATAATATGTGAAATAATTACAATGGAATGATTTTCACTGTGGAGGCAATCCTCTCATTTTACTTCAGCCATCTTTTAAAGCCAGCATCTCTTTCATAATGGGGAGGTGATTTGGTGACAGTACCAGGTTAAGCAATAGCTTCAACAAGGTCAGAGCCAACACTTAAAAATACTCATGAACAAAGTTTAGAACAGGTGGGCAACTGGCCAGAAAGCAATATTTTCTCTCTGTTCTGATAACAGACGAAGAAATACAGACAGACAGCTTAAATTAGAGAGCAAGATCCATGTGTTTATATTATAATAATCAATGTTACCTTTCACCAGAAGAATTAATACACATGCAGAAGGATTTCTTTTAAGATAATGCACTTTAATTACATTGGTATACATTTAGTTAACAGCTATAAACTTCTTCTGTTTTGGGACTCTTGCAGACTTGCACAACAAGCTAGGTACACCAGATTAGATTCACACTGTATTAAGAAAAAGATAAGTTCTCAGAACAGCAGTAGAGATGTTTAATTTACCTTACTCTACACTGTCTATCAAAGTAACACTACCTCTTATTACTAAGTAAAAAATATACATGTGTCTATGTAAAGAGAAATACAGAGATTAATATTCTGTTATTACGAAAAGGTTAAAGATTTCCATCAATCTTTACATATTAAGGAGTGCTTATAATTTCTATTATAATGCCCATCCCAGTCATAACTTAGAACAAATGGAAAACCCCAATTAATTTGCTACCTCTCTAAATAATATTTCAGTGACTTTGGTTTAAGAGCTTTTTGATCAATTCTCCCTCATGATTGAATCTGTGTTTCAACAGGAAAAACTTCACTGGGGTGGGCAGTAAGGAGGCGACTTCCACTAAACCTGTAATCCTTGCCAGTGACAATGAGCAGCAACATTTTGATTCTGTCTGACACCAGATGAGAAATCACTTTCTAATTAAACAGGAAAGTAGCATATATATGAGGTAACAGCCAGCTTCTGAGTAGGGAAGTAATACCATTTTCTCATTTTTCAGGGTAGGTCTGCCCTGCTTTTTTAAAAGAAGACACTTTAAAAAAGATGACCTTGGAAGGATTTGCTATGTATGGCATATAGAAACTGCTATTCCCAAGACTCCACAGCTCCTAAGTGTTTTAAAAAACATGCACAGAAGAATGAAAAAACCAGACAGGTGACAACAATGGCATCAGCAAAATACCTTATGCCTCACTCAAGCGTTTTATATTCAAGGCACAAGTTACAACTCATAAATTTCATTAAATCTACCTAACTTATACCAGAATCCATTGCCTCTTTGTATTTCAAGGGAATAGAAATACATGAGAGATTGTGTACAAAAGTGATATTTCTTGTAGGAATAAAATCCAAACAGAAAAAGGGAGAGACTTAGGCTTAATCTTCCTTATTATTTGATAAAAAAGCATTTTCTGAGTAAAGGTACAAGTTATTTATGGTTTTGATCACTCCAGTACACTGTTCCATACCTAAGAGTAGAAAATGTTTCAAATATTTAACAAATCAGGGCTAATTATACAGAATAATTGAATCCTTAATATAAAGCCTGAGAGACTTTATTCTTCTAACATTACTTGCTGCTGATGTGAATACCATGAGAAGAGAGAAAACCACAGACCTGTTAATACAAAGAAGACAGTTGAAAATTACTTTCAGTTTTGAGAAAAACACTAGGCTCTGAATATAAGTTTAATAATTAAAGTTCAATTCCCTTTTTTCCCCCAAAAAAAAGTTATTTTAATTACTACTTTTTATGCCAAGTGTCTGCTTAACTTAGGAGAAGAAATGACTTGTTATTTGAAGCATTGCCTACTAGAAATAAGAGTTACTCAAGGGCAGTGTTTTATTGATAAAGATTTTTTCTTAATAATCATATGTCATAACATTTCACAGGATTCATGATGTTCATATTTTTTCAAAGGCAGAAACAACTGGAAGTTCTGATCTGAAGCTAACAAAATACCCTGAAGCATAGTCAAAAGTTGGAGTCATTTTTGCATTTTAAACCCTCGATATAGTAAAAGTCAGGTCTTCATAAAAGTAGGAGAGGTTATTTGTTACCATAAGAGCCACCATTTTTAAACTGTTATGAGTATTTGCATACATTTACATGCACTGAAAGCACATCCATTCAGAACAAACAAGGTTCATTATGAAGACAAACATGCTGAGTATGACTGACTGACAATCCACACAATGGCTGATTTAAACTTTACATTCATCAACCATTTATTTGAGCAGGAGGAGGAGGAACAGCTAAGGATGCCTCGCATCGCTTCAGCCGCTTTTTATTTTTGATAAACCCTGGGGCTGCAAGGTGAGAGAATACACTAAGCCCATTCAGCCTGCTGGAAACCCCTGCTATGGTCTCTGACTTCTAGCAGGCAAGCTTAAATGAATCTCTCTCAAGTAGTGGAATAGGTAGGAAAACTGGTTTATCAAAACACATACACAGTTCCCTTAAACAGTTCAACTTTAAGGCATGTCTGCATGCATTCCTACTGCCTGTGACAATAGTAACACTTCCTTTCAGCCTAATAGGTCCTGAGCCCCATCCTTTGTCTGCTGATTAACTGCTCTATTCATTGACCAGACCACTAATTGCATGCTCCTTATAGTTACCCTACATTACTGTAAGAATTAATGAGACACAATTACAGCTCCCAGAAATCTCAGGCCTAGCCAACTGCAAAGCACTCCAACTGAATAAGAACTCCCCAAGAATAAAGAGAAAAATTCAGCCCATTGTTCACAGGAAGCAGAATGTTTTTTGTTAAAAAATTGTATTTATTTGAAGCTGTTTCATAATTAGGCCCTGGAGAAAAAAAAAAAAAAAAAAGAAGAAAAAAGGGGAGAATAGAGAAAGAACTTGGGAACCAGCATTCAGTGAGAAATCACAGTGGATGCAGAGACGAGCACACAGTTCAGATATGAAGAGAAAAACACATAAGGAAGGAGTGAATAAAAATTAGTGCTACGAACACTACAATCATCTATAACCAATCAGCTGTTTCAACAGAGCATGTCCCACTGTATGAGAATTACCACTAATGCAATCTTATATTTGACAGCTTCAATCTTGAACAATTTAAAATAAGCATATGGGAGCTTCTGCAGTCATGTGTCTGAGACAGAAGAGGAATTTAATTTCCCACTCTCAGAATTTAATATGCATTAGAAGTCAGTGTCATTAGCCATGAAAGTCAAAATGAAGGACAGAAAATGAGTTTTTTGAAAATCACCCATATTGAAAACTGCACTCACATTTAATCTGTGTAATCAACAGCCACAGCTATTCAAAGTCTTAGTGACTACAATCACTACCTATTAGCCTGTAAGTAGTTCAAAAGCTATTATTCTCACTTGAACAATTTCCCAATACACAAGAGACTGCATTAAGTTAATGAAGTTAATATGCAAAGTCAATATTCTTTGTTATGAAGTCATCTTATTCCATTGGTTCCTCTTCAACTTATTTTCACCATATAAATTCGATTTAAATTACATGTATAGTTTGACAAAGCCACTGATACTTAAAATAGAGCTTGAAATGCAGCACTATACTTTATAGCCCTAGTAACCATTTTCCAGGGTACAATTTGTAGCAGCCACTGAGACCCCAAACTAAGCATGTCAGACTGGCACTGCTACATTCCAGAATCAACATCTTTGGGCAGAGACAACATTTTTTGTACATCTCTACAGGGATTCTCAATAATTGCACCTAACTGCAGTAATAGTTTAAATTCATGGGAAATGGATGTTCTTCTGATATTATCACTCACTGATATCACAGCAGAACTCTTTCCTGCATGAAGCAGACAGTTACCACCATGTGGTGCTGAATCCCAAGCAGGAAACAAGGCACAAATATGGATCAGAGACCTTTGTGTTCAGTGTATAATAAGTCCAATATCCCTGTCATAGAACAGCAATCATTAACTCAGGGATCTTTTGTTAAATGGCCCCTGTGGCTGGACTGGTAACAGCAGGGATCGAATTTGCAATCCTCAAGACTAGATTCATCTGTCAGGGAGACTGCAGACCTGCAGATTCATGCATTTCCAAAGTGAGTCTCTAGGACTTCACATGAAAATACCAATTTCAATTAACCTTGACTGATTAATCAACCTCAGTGCACAGGCACAGAGCTTACATTTGCAGATCTAACCCTGGCAGTATTATTTGAAATGGGCATTCCTCATGTCTTGAAAAAACCTTTGAGGAAAAAAGAAATCTTTGTCTCAAATAAAACATCACCTAGCTTGTTCAAGCTGTTCCTGTTTCAAGCCCAGAAATAGAACAAGTCTGAATTCCTGCAGAGTATGATGTGAAATTATTTCTACTAGTGCAAAAAATGTATTCTGGTATCTGGTCCAGCCTTCATTTCAGATGTTATGAAGTAACTTAACCAATAGAAAATATCCACACACTGGAGCTAAGCTGCAATTTCTACTTGAGTTGTCTCTCCACCAAGAAAAAGGAGTCCTTCCTGCAACAAGCATTATGAGCCCACACTTCAGGGCATCAATTCTAAGGTAGAATTTCTAAATGAATGATTATTTTACAGGAAGAGCATGGTAAGAGACAAGGGAAGGTTTCAAGTCATAACCTGAGCTCACTCAAACCATTTCTACTCCCCTGTTCCACTACCAATTTCTTTAGAGCTACTTGTTACTTATGGTAGAGCATATAGAACTAGCAAAGGACAATCTCGATCCAAGTGTTCCCACATGCTTATTTATGCTAGAACTGATTCACCTAAGGAAAATTCCACTTTTGTACTTCTCATCCTTTAGTTTGCATGTTGCACATCATAAGCTTCACTACTAGGGAGCTCCTTTCCCTCCTTTTCATTGTTATATCTTGTTGTCATTATATCGCAAGGGTTCCATATTGCTAGAATTTCATATCTCCTTGATGTTTCTTGTAGGCAGCTCCTCTAGGCACTGACTCTTCCTTGTCCTCACAGCAGCCAACTGATCCCAGCTCCCCTCAGTGAACCAATCCACTCTTTTATAACACTCTTCTTATTGGCTACAGGTGTGGCCTGTTAAAATCAGGCCTGCTCCCAATCTCTAGTAATTAACCCAGCTGCAACTCTTCAGATGGTAAGATTACAGTCTCTATTACCTTTATTTACTTACATTCTATCCCCCTACAATATCTACCTCCTGCCCTCTTTTTCCTGAAAGTAGCTCAGCTAAGCAATGGTTTTGTCTGTACCATCTCCTAAGTGTTTCCCAAAGGTATCCCCAAGACTAGAACCACCAACAGGACAGATGCCAAACATGAACATCGGGCATTGTCAGGAACTTGCAGCTGTAAGACAAGCCTGAAGGCAGCAGATGAACAGGAGACAGTGACACTGCTCTTAGAGCTGCTCTGGAGGTCATTCTTGGGAGCAAGGTAAGCATAAGCTATGATGTATCATCTCTGTGTGCAGTGATAAACTGGCACAAGAGTCGCTGCAGGATGAGGCTTACAGCTGATTTACACTAGAAAGGTTAATATAGAAATTACACTAACAAGACCCTTCTTCTCAAGCAATCCACACCTATCCCTCAAGAGAAGTAAAAAGTACAGGTAAAAGAATTCCTTATGCAGCTTCTGCACTGGGTTTTTTTGCTGGCATAGCTATGTCAGCAAAAAATTCATATCCCTCCCTGACAGGCCTCCTTGAGAACACTTTCAAGTGCAAACCAGGTGTCAGTATTTCTGTTATGACAGAAAAAGAGTTCTACACTAGTCATGAGCTGAATATTTGCCCTTTCATGACCTGGAAAAGTCCTGGCTTCCAAGGAGGTCAAATCCCATGGTCATGTTTTCCACCAGCAGAATCTCTCATGACCATAGCACCGGTATGGTACTGTATTAACACATATAGAGTAGAAGAAAATGTATCAGTAGCCAACCATTTATATTCTGCATTTCCATGTAAAAATTTGCTATTTACACTACATTAATGCCACAAAAAATCCTGTGAATGGGAAGCACCAACAGTTCTATTTGTAAAAATTGCTGTGTTTTTTAGATTTAGTCTAAAAATTGTTTGAAATCTACTAATCTCTGGATATTTCAGTTGGTGATATTTGGTACTCAAAAATAGTTGGATAATTCTAAGAAGAGATTCTACAGATTGAACTCCCAGATGCCCCACAGGTCATGGAAGAAGCCAACCAAGTACCAACATCTTTTTCTTTTATCAGCCTTGTTAGGTAGAAAGTTAACAATACTGAAAGCAGCTGGATAGCTTTAAAAAAAAAGACAGTTAAATGTATAATTCTATCACATGGCAAGAACTCCAGAGCTGAAGAGACGATTGGAAGAAGACATACTGCCACAGGCCGTATTGCAGAGGGTCCCTCAAGGATCACCAGCCTGTTCCTAACATAATTTACCATATTCTCTTCATCTCCAACTCAGTTACCCTCTGATTCTATAAGATTGTTTATGGAATATGTTTAGGCCTTGCACTGACAGAGCAACAAAAGGCCCTTTGAAAGCACCCCTCACTGGGGTGGAATGCACAGGCCATGGTCCACCTGGAGTGCTCCTCAGTACAAACTAAGATGCTCTGTGATAAAGTCAGCATGAATAAAACAAAGTGTTTATAACTACTTACACAAGCAACAATCACAGGCATCAATTGGCCAAACAGCGTGAATCCCTGAGCCACAAGAAACAGTCAATCACATTAATTTCTTTAGTTAATTAATTAATTAATGTTCCTTTATTGACTAGAAAGAAGGAAAATATTTCAGAAACAAAAAGCAATCTGCAATATCTAAGCATAAATCCCTATCCAAACTGCATCCTACTCCAAAAAGTAAGGTAAAGCTTAGCATGGGAAGAAAGTTCTATGTTGATTTATGCCCTGGTTTATTATTGCTGGTTTCAGAAGAGCAAACAGCAGAGCAGAGAGCAGTTCCTGTGACAAAAGCTTTAGACTGGCACATGGTTCTGCATCCTTGAACTACCTGTGACACACACCCCTACCATGCCCTTTTTGGCACTCAAATGAAGTAGAATTTGGCTACCATGCAACTTGAATAGTGGTTGGTTGTTATCATTATATTACAAGAGTTCTATTGTCATTGCATCGGGTTCCACATTGCAAGAGTTTCACACCTCCTTGATGGTTCTCATAGGCAGCTGCTCTAGGCATTGTCTCTTCCTTGTCATCACAGCAGCCAACTGACTCCAGTTCCCCTCAACCACCCAATCCACTCTTTTATAACACTCTACTTATTGGCTACAGCTGTGGCCTGTAAAAATCAGCCCTGCTCCTAATCTTTAATAATTAGCTCAGCTGCAACTCTTTAGGGAGTAAGATTACTTTTTATACTACCTTTATTTACTTATATTCTATCCTCCTACAGTTGGTCAAAAAGTAGATTGGACAAAATCATCAAATCCCTGTCAATTTTTGCCCTAATGATTCCTTTTATAGCATCTTTACAAAGTGCTCTATAAATACCAACAGTCCTATGGTTCACACCTGTCATGGTAAGAGGGAAGCCAGTCACTGGAAATTAAGTGTGTTTATTATGTACAGAAATTGTAAGAGTAGAAAGAGCTGAAGAGGAACAGAGATCCCAGAGAAATACAGGATAAGATTAGCAAGAAACAGCTCCCAAAACAGAAGCATAATTAAGCATCCAAACTGCCAATGAGAGAAACATGTATGGAAGAATGCAGGGATGTGTGGGGAATTAGGAGGCTATATTACAATTAGGATTTATACATGGAGAGTTACAAGGTATTTAGGTTGCTGAATCCTATTTAAGAACATAAAGTCCCACTCACTTCTACAGGAATTAGGCACCCTCACATCTCAGCCAGGTGGGGTTCAGGGACTGCTCCCACAGGGTCTGTGTCTCTCATGGGTCGGTCTCACTGAGCAGGCAGCCACAAGAACATTGTGAAGAAACTCGTGATGCACCAGTGACTCAGAACAAAACTTACTCTACCATAAATACATTTCATGTCCCACACATAGGACCATTTAATGAGACTCAGTAAAAAGATTCAGTTGTTTGGGGGAAGGGAAGCTACAGGCAGTTGCTTGTTCTGAATTTATGCACAGGTCCAGAAATTTCCTCTGTAAAGCTGCCAGCCTTTCTCCACACACAATTATCATGTGCCATTTGTGTCACTGTAGAACCTGTAAGCCAAGCCCAGGCTATGGATCAGTCCTACACAGATGAAAAGAAAAAAAGGACATGCTTACACACCTGATGCAAGTCATGAAACCCAAACTGTATCCATAACATAATTTTTAAAAATTTTATTCCATTAAAGCTAATTAATATCATCCATAGTAGTAGTATCATAAAAACACTCTTCATATTACATTTGAACAGGTTCAGAAAGGAAAATTATTAATTGAACCACAAGGAGAAATACAGATTTTTACATAAACTCTGAGTAGACAGGAGAAACTCCTTCTTTGAAAGCAATGGAGTTTTTACATTGCTAGATAAAACATATTCCATGAAAATTACTTACAAAAACTGAACACATGGGAACCACTTCAGTAACTACAGTCTTGGAGAACTTTCTGTTACAAACACAAGAATATATTTGGCTATCATTTATAACACTCCTTGGCAATAAATTACCCTTCCACTCAGAAGCCTTGTATAAAGGTACTTCACTGCTACCACACAAAAAATCAGAATAATTTCAGAGAGAGCAACAAAGGAAATTTGCATCTGACACTAATATCTTTGTAGGATAACGTATATTTTAATGAAGATATTGTCAGCAATACATGTGTTTATGCTTCTTTTTTCCCTTCACACTTGGATTTTATTTCATTTATGTCATGATCTACCTTGCAAGTTTAAGAAATGCATCATTTATTCATGACCTCTACTTTTTCAGAGCCTCTCAGTTACACAGAAGACCAGGCTAAAGAAAAATCAAGTGGTTTGTCTGATAACAGTTAGTGTCAAAACAAACTGCGTATGTTGAATTTCTGTTAGCTGAAGTCATAATTTAAAAAATCCCAACCCAAAAACCAGTGCTTGCTTTACCTTTTTCCAGAATAAACTCTCATAATTAAACTTTCTACTTTTCCAAGTAGCTGACTATGTATTCCTGCACAGCAGGAGGTTTTCTCCACAGACATATTGACTTGGACAATAAACAAAGCAAAAATCCCTGACTGGAATTTGCAGCTAAATTTAACCATGCATATTGTTAATAAAATTTGCATATATGTCTTTCAACATTAAGAAAAAATAAAAGTGGAAATTCAGTGAATTTGGGCACTGCACTGCTTTGCAAGAAAAAAAATGAGATTTAAGTTGTAATTTCCATATTTATTGAGGCTGTACGTCAAAAGAAATCTGTGCAAAAAAATCCTGGTGCTGCCTTGATGAGATTTGAAAGATGACAGCATATTAATAGCAAAGGAGCTTCTCTTTAGCAAAGATGGCTTAAACAGCACCTGTAAAACACTGATGAAGGGTCACATAATTTTAGAAAACATTTTCAGCATCTCTTATTTTTCTGTCCTTCAACCACAAAATAAGTAAATGCAGTTACCACGTTTTGAAGAAATGTCACCCATCCCTTCCCCTCGGTGTCAACTTTGCACATGAAACATTAACAGATCAGTCAGCACTGACTTCTTACAATTAAAGCTGTGAAAGGAAACTTTAACTGATACTTTTTCATTGATTTTTTTGCCACAACACTGCATCACCACTGGCTCTCCAAAGCCATGAACTATCAGTAGCAAATATTCAGCTTCTATTTTTAATTTTTGTGCCTTTTTTCACAGCATCCTGGACATTTGGATGTCTTAGGAATTTAATTTAAAGGAATTAAGGTTTCTAGTTCCTTTAAAACTAAGTTACTTTACCTGGATCTGTCTAGCCACAAAAAGTAGACAATGAAATGCAGTTCTGCCAGCATAAAACCTTTTAGATAAGCAAAAAAACTTTCCCACTAAAGAGAGAAGATCATACTCCTTTGAGGTACTTTTCCAGTACAAAAGCTGGATGTATTCCAGGGATTACGCTGTTGGTTGGATGGTTTGGGTTTGTTTTGTTGGGGTTTTTTTTCTTTTCTTTTTTTTTATAACTGAAACTGTGAATTTTTATCAGTAAAGCTCTCATTAAATTATGAAAAAATGTTCACATTGCCACAGCATGTACTTTATGGCTTTTTATACTTGCACTTGCACTGGGCAGGACTTCAAGGACACCTTTAACCTTTGCTTAAGCCTTCAGAGCTTGGCTGCTCCTCATCTGGAGGAGTGAGAGGGCAAAAGAGGAACTCGGTCATCACTTAAGGCATTACCTGCAGCTGACTGTGCAAATGAGTGGCCCAGTCACTTTTCTCAGGTTCCAGGTGAAACAAACAACCATTAACACCCCGGGGAGATGCACAGATCAGTTCTCACCTCTCAAAGCACTTCTAGCACACACTGCAGGCCTGGCAGGAGATCCCTGAATCCTCTCCTGAATTCTTCCTTCAAGTACAACCACAATGCTTTTCTTTTCTAACCAACGAGTCGAGCTGGGGGAGAAGTGCACCCCAAGCACCTCTAGCACCCAGCCCGTGTCTACAAACAGCTTCACATCACCACAAGGCTCTGTAAAACAGTGTGGCACCTTCCAGAGCATCCTCTTGTGAGATCCACGTGTTGCAACTTCACTTGGGATTTTTTTTGCAAAATGCTGCATTCAGATATGATGGGACAGAGAGAGCTGAGGAAGTGCAGGAGTAATTTTATTCTGCAAAGGTGCAATAAAAACTAGGTCAATAACCTCAGTGACACAGAGGAAGTCTGTGCATTCTGCATTCCCAACCACAGGAAACCAAAAACTTACAACTTTCAGTGAGGTCACCCACGAGAAGCTGAGAGCTCATGGGATGTGTTCATGACATTGAGGCTGGCAGAAATCAAGGATCACAATTCCCCAAATACAAATTGCTGAGCAGAAACCCAAGCCAGCAGTTAAACACTGCAGATTCAGGCACTGAAATTAAGGAGTTAAAGATTAATTCACTCCCAGACTGTGTGTACATGGTCACCTCATGGGGCCATCACCAGGAAGACAAGAGATCTTCTTAGAAGAACTGGCTCTACCAGAGGCTAATTAACAGATATGCTGACTGTAAATAAAAGCAGGAGGTGGCAAACAGAAAAGAATAGAAAGTTTGATGGGGCTCCCAACAGATGCTGTGTGTCAATAAACATCAGCTGAAACTTAGATGCTGCTTTGTGCTCTCTTAAGGAAATCATTATAATCACATTATTCTGCAACACAGTCTAGCCTAAGCTCCATGCCTCATCCTAGAAAGGATATTTTGATCAACTAGACATTTGTTAATTACAAAACCAAGCACCTTGAAGCTATTTTGTTTTACATACAGAATGAAGCAGCTTATTCAAAATTGAAAATTATTACATTCTTATTTACTACCCATAGAACTAACAATACCCATAAAGCTAACAACTATTTCTTATATCCCAAACTAAATTAGTGGCTCTTGTAAAAATATTATTTGCTTCAAAAATGCTAGTTAAATGGCACAAACATGTCTACAAAACAGATAAGAGATTGATATATACAATGACAATTAGGCTTTCTAAGCATAGAAACACTTTTTCAGTTTATCCTCATAATTTCCTAAATCTGTAGAAGATGTATGCCTTAACTCTGGGGTCTGACATTAGATTCTTTATATATATTTGCCTTTATATATATTTGCACAGCATTTGTCTTCACTGCTTATTTCACAAATTTTCTGCCAATGAAGGACTCTCCATAAGGAAAAGTTTTAGTAGTACTGAACACTTAAAAGATGGAGATATTCATTCTCCATTCTCTGCCTCACACCTCCAAAAGTTAACTCCCATTAAAAACCAGATTTTTTGTTATCCTGTCTCCCATTTACCCACCTGATTTGACAAACCTTTTCTCAAGCAAACAGACATTTTCAAGTAACCAGCATCACAGGAGGACAGATTATTTTGTATGAGAAAGTTTACAGGAGGTAATCTTCTCTTTTCCTTGAAGTTAAAGTAATTAGTACCTAGTACTGAAATGAAAGAAATTTAATAGTGTCAGTCCAATTACTTGTGAACACATGTTTATTTTGCACCCAATTACTCCCCTCAAGTCTTCAATTTCAAGAGTGGACAGATTTTGCAACTGTATTTGCTTCTCAGTTCTTGACATTATCATAAAAATTCTGATTAAGCCATACAAATTATGTGAGAGAAGTTGCACTATTCTGCCATTCTTGACACACTATAGACAGGATTACAATATCTTCTTTCACTTCACAGAATTTCTAAATGAATTTTAATAGCATTTACATATTTTTTACTGGGTTTTTTTGGGAAAGTATGAATATATTTTTTCTCCTTTTTCCAACTCATGAATTCTAATGCACTAAAATTTCTTCCCTGTACAATGATTATTTGGATTAATGCTAATTGACTGTGGAGCACTATGGTTCAGAAAGTGTTTAGATTCCACACATGAGCAGCTGGCACCATATGAGCTCACTCTTATGCTTCAATATTGTGCTTTCCTTTCTCTGTTGTCCTTCCTGCCACATTTTGGGTTGATGAATCTATTTCTCAGCAATACTCAAACTCTTTCTTTTTTTTAAATGTTGTCTGGCTATTATATTCTCTTACAAATATTTATTTTAAATAGTTCTAAAATAATAAAAGGGAACTTCAAGTACTGACAATGTACTATAATAAATTTGTGCTGGCAGAAATCTGAATAAAAAGTGTCTGCCATGTCAGGAAAAGAAATAAAAGAGGTCCCACCTATTTTGGCCCATATAACACCCAGGTAAATTTAAGCACACAGGAGTAAAACTAAATATAGCTATTTTCAGGAAATCATAAAAATTCTGAAGAGTTTATTAAAAATATAGAAAAAAAAAACCCTGCTGTTTTACCAAGAGTATTCTCCTTTACACATTTTACCATTAATACCTGTGAAGACTTTAACCGCAAAGTATTACTTAGCAGTCATGAACTAAGTTAAACTACCATGGAAACAAAATTAAGAATATCTGGAAAGATATTTCTGTGAAGCTGTTAGAATAGAAAACAAGCAATAAAGAATAAAAATCAACTTTTGCTTAGGAAATGCCTCATGTTGCCAGTTGGTGGTAGCTTCTGGCTACAAACTGCATTCTGACACTGAGCTAATGACAGAATATAACTCATGCTGAAACTAATGCAGATCATCCGAACAATGTTCCTCCCTGATTTTTAATATCTGCTTTGTTTTCTCTTCTTGTCATAATACAATGTCCAATGGATTTTGCAGGATTCTCACACTAATGTTCCACCTACCAACTTTGGAAGAACACAAAAAAGGTTCACAGTTGTATTTGAGACATAGTTGTTGCATATTTTTACCTCTACAAAAAGCAACAAAGAAGAAATGAAGCTGCAAAACCTACTTAAAAAAATAAATCAACAGAGTGCTTGACTCCAGAATCACAATCTATTCAGACAAAATTCTCTATTCCTATGCTCATATATTTAGTGATCTGCTTGTACTTTTCTTGGTGAAAAATAAAATAATTTTTGATACATTTTGCTGAATTCCAGATGGCCAAAGCCCCACTTACTCATTTGTCAGTGTACTTCTCCTCATCCAAGGATAGCCATGACAATTCAGATCAAAGGTTCATTTAGGTCAATAACCTGCTTCCAAAAGCAGGCATAAGCCAGAGTGAAGAGAGCATGAGCAAAGAAAACAAATATTTTTTTCCCAGAATAACTCTCTAGCATTTCAACTATATTGTATTCAAGAACTCCTGAGACTGATGTGATTTATCTATTTATTTTGCCCAATGAACCTTCTCTTTCACTTATCCAATTATCCCTTAAACTCATATAAATTTTTGTATCCACAACGTGCCAAAGCAAGGCTACCTTGGGCAAAGAACTAGGAGCTGCATTGTAGTGATAACTGTTTTGTGCACAGTCAGTACACAGCACTCATATTTTCTTAGTAAAACACAAAATTTAAAAAATAAATAAATAAAAAAAGGAGCAAGATTGATGCACCCCTTGAAAGAAACTGAGTTTGCACATACTCGAGTGAGTGGAGTCCAGTGGGAATTAGCATTCTGAACTCAGTAAAATGCTGCAATAGCAAGAGTTATAACAAGGTTGAATACAGCTTGAAAAGCAGGCAGATGTCATGAGTGAAAAAACAGACACCCTAACAAAAGCAGCCAAAAAACTCTGTAAGCCTCCCTCAGTCCAACAACCAAATTCTGATCCAAGGAGGTTAAATATAGGGCTGCTTGAAAATTTTCCACTGCATCTATTTTTGATGGGAAATGAGGCTTTCAGCTAAACACTTTCTGGTTGGATTGTTTGGGGGTTTTTGGCATGTCTAAATATGTGCTTCTGCAAGTATACTTTCCTTACCAAAAAGCCAAACTTATCAACAAAAATATTTTGATTGAAAACAAAGTATGTTGTTAAGAAATGCTAGTGTAGCATTTCATTGTATCTCCAGCTTATCTGCTTTATGTGGCAGATCTCTATCAACCAGACTTACCATTTAAATGAGAATTCTGAGGACAGATCATTTTGAGGGATTCCCCATTTACAGCACTCCCTTCAAGGAGGAAGATCATGGCAAAATGTCAAAGGTGGAAGGCAGCCTCAGCCTTGCAGAGCAGGGCCAACAGGCATTCAGGTTGTAATGTCAGAGGAGGACTACAGTAACACATTTCAAATCCACAAGTTTTTGTTTCCAGACAAAGTCCTCCAAAGTCCTCTGAATTCTGTCAAAGCATGTTGTGTTTCCTGGAAAATTAAGACAAAAAAGAAACAGAAAAATATTTTTATTTTTTTATCAAAAATTCATGCAGGAAATTTCATGGGTTAAGAAAGGTCTTTCTCACTAATCTGCAGATTCAAAGATATCACCTGGACCCACCCACCCACAAATCAGAAACAAATTAAACAGCAGTAAAATGTTTCAAGTTTTCCATCACAGTTCTGTGAGCAGGACTGTTCAAAAGCCAAGGAGCTAAGCCCAAACAAAAACAGAGCTGAATGGATGTGATAACTTCATGTATGAGCCCTAACTTATAAAAGACCAACCAGCCTACCTTACAAAAGCAAAGGATGAAGATAAGATTCATACAATGGCTACACTTACTGAGTAAGAAATCTATAATACAAAAATATGTATAGCAAAATTAGCAAAGTGGCAAGAAAATAAGATACTCCAATTATTATTCCCTTTCAGGGTTCTCTTTTCAGTAAAGTAAACCAGAAGGAATAAATCCAATAAGACTAATACAATAAAAAGCATCAGCTATCCCTACATGGCTATTATCATCCCTTTTCTTGGAACCCCACAATCCCTGGAAGAACTGAAAGCCTTTCATCCAAAACCAGGCCCTGACCAGACCAAGACAGAGAAACACCCAACTAATACTACCAGGAAAAATGTTACAACTAAATCTCTAGTATTTCTCTCCCCTTGTGGCTGTTTCCTGACATACAATTGCATCCCCTCATCCCAACTGCAAAATAAATGTATGAAGAAAATAAATAAAAGACAAGAAATCAATCAAGACTGCACCTTTTGTAACACTGTTGAGAACCTACAAAAGACAACTGCAGAAAATCTCATGCCAGTGGGGCACTTCTTTCTTTCCCCTCACCATACTCAGAGAGGATTATTCCTCTATGGACTATTCCTGCCATCATTATGCCAACTCAGAATCAAGAAAATTCAAAGGAACTGGCAAAGAAATATCCTTATTTTAGAACTCAGGGAGTAAAATGAAAGGAAGGACATTTTGCTATTGCAGTGAAATTCCTTTCAACATCTTGCTTTTCAATCACACCATTCTTTTACTAAAATAAAAATAGAGAAAGGTTTTTAGCGGTTTCTGCTGAGACCAGGCACCTGAAATCTCCCTATAAGCAGTTCCAAACACTGCCTAATGCTCATTCCCTACAAAGTGTTAACATCTTTGACTGTCTAATGTAATAAAGTGAAAAGTACTAACACAATTTGTCATTCTCAAGGCAAATTTATTCATCAAAATTAGTACAAGCCTAAGCTTGCTGTCCTTACTCATATTTGGAATAACCAGCCACTGTTGTCCCAGCAAAACTAATACAGTGAAAAATTAGTCAGGGTCTAACTATAGAAATAAAAAAAATGTTTAGGGTAAATGAAATGCAAAGAATAAATATTCAAAATTAGTGATGAAAGATACATCTGTTATTTCAGTTTTATCTCCTGGATAAAATGTGATTTTATCATTCAGTATTTTAAAAATTACTACTGGGCATCCATCGAAAATCAGGATTGGAAACAGTGAAACATAAAAAATGTATACTTCAAACTATTATTCCCTTAACTTACAGTTCCACTGACCTCCAAGGTGCAAAAAGTAGTATCAGAATTGATGACCAACTTCACATTGTTCAAGGATTTAGTGACATATTTCTCTTCAAATCAATCATACAAAGTTTTGCTTTCTTATATCTGGTTTTTATTCTTTTCCATGGCTTTCAAAATAAAGCATCATTTTTCCATCAGTTCACTTACTCATAAGCACCTCTTTAGTTTCTCATGTAATTTACAGCATGTGAGACGTATATGTGCAAGCTAATGTCTCCGTGCAGCTTATGCAGAAGTTCTTGGCTCAAGGTGGATTACACTGCTTAATCTTGTCCCTGCACCAACCCTCTCCCACCAGGCTGGGTGAGCTGGCACAGAGCTGCACACAGACTGGGCTGGGTTTCCTGCCAGGAGTGCCCCCACAGCTGTGTGAGTGTGGCAGCTGAGCCACCCCAAACGTGACTTCCCCACGAGAGACACCCTGCACTCCCCATCCCCTCTGCTGTGGCTCCTCCTTTCACCCTGTCAGTACCACCAGAGTTAAATGTGCTATTCACCTATCTGCTACCACCCAAATATGGACTGAGTAACAGTCAAGGAGGTCAGGTTAATGATGGAGTCCATTAATTCCCCCAAAGCTGTGACATCAAAGTCCAGGTACCTGCGGGTCATGCCATCTTAAGGCCAGGTGGGAGTTGGAATTTGGAAGCTGCCCATTCCAGACAGGCAAGGCAGGGGGCAATGCAGCAGCAGTGGGTATTTACCAGAACCTTTGCAGGGATTTGTACACAAGTGGTTAAAAGTGAGGTCTCCAAAACTGAAGACTGACCAAAGACACGGACTCCATGCTGGGAGTAGTGATGGTGAATGTGCCATTCCAGCATATATGAACACTAATTTTTGGTGGAGCATGGAGACAGAACCACATACATAACTGCAGGAGTCACTGGTGTGTCAGAGGCCTGGACATGCTTCCACTTTGAGAAGAGAGTGGTGCATGTTTATTCTCAGAGTGGTGCAAGTTTATACTCTCATATTAACCCCCAGAAACCAGACTAGTGGTTAATACCTTACCAACCTGAATGCACATAACCATCCTGAGATTCAGGAGTGCATTTACATACTAATGTTCTAACAGCAGCCCAAAAGTAAATTCATGGTTACCTGGGTGATCAGAGGAAGACAATACTACTCACTCTGTCCATATAACCTCACATACATTATGGTCAGCAATTCAACTGTATGGAGTTTGTGTTGTTCTCCAAATAGAGACAATGACAATGGAGCAGCAGACAGTTGACATCCAGTGACAATGGATCAACAGACTGTTTAATTCAGTGCAATTTGTCTTCACAAGTCCCATGATTTATCATGTGTGAAACACCACACCATGAGGTATTACAATCTGCAGCACAGGTGGATTATAAATGCAGCTTGCTAACTAGTGGTGGGAAAAGAAAAATACAGCATTTTAGAAAAAACCCTCAAGAACACTGATTTTCCTTCACAATCTTTATAATCTGCATTTTTTTGTATTCCTTCCTCCTGCATTGTTTCACTAATGAGAATGGAAGCAATATACAATTACACTGAGAGTGCCAATACTTTGCAGCCCAATCACCAACTGCACAGTGTGGGAGAGCAGGGCTAAAGCCCTTCAATAGGAGCTCATCTTATACTGCCCTCATGCAAAACTGCTGCTCCCACTGAGTCCTTACACTTATTCTGCAGCTCATACTCCTTCTCTAGTGCAGCCAATGCACTCAAAGCTGCCTCAGGAAGAAATTTAAACACAGTCAGCAGAAAATCCTCCAGCCACATTCAGGGCCACAACTCACAGCTTCAGTGTCAGAGCAATACTCAGACCACAGCACTGATCAATCCCTTTGTGATCGTCCTTTATGACAAAGCAATAACAAAGTACTCTTCCAGAAGTTCCTTCTCCTCCTCAGTCACCTGCTCACTGCACTCCAGCAGTAGCTATGGCAGCACATTGTAGTCAGCCAATTTTCTGGTTTCCTGAAGTCTCTCTTGTATCTCATTGAACAACAGCAGCACCACCATGGTACTGTGCCCATCCCCAATCAGATCTGACATGCCTGGAGAAATGCAAGCAGAACATTGTTCTTGCCTATAAAAAGTTCTCATGAATCACAATAAAGTACAGGCTGACTCAGAAGATGTATGAATGCCATTTATTTATTTATTTTTATAAAAGGAAAAATATCAGACTGTAAGACAGATGCACAATGTATTCTTCTATCTCTCTCCTCAGCTTTCACAGCACTGGATTTTTGCTCATAATTTGTGCTTTTCAGGCTTACAGAAGTACAAACCAGGCAATTCCTTCCCAGAGTTGGATGTGCCATCATGTTGCTCAGTTCTGGACCACATGTGGCATGTGAGAGAAAAGGATTGACTGGGGGGGAAAAAACCAGTCTCTCTTAATTTTAATTGGAACTTTTTAGGGGAAATCTGAACATAGATGCAACAACTCTACCTCACTGTGTTTCCTAAATGGCCTGTAAAAATACTCTTTCTTCCAGCTCCTATTTATCCTGTCCTCACAAAGTTCCAGTTTCCAGTTTCATGGTGTTGTTCAATGTATTGTCCATGCAAAATCCCCCATGTCTTGCAGCTAACCAGCATTTGCTTAGACAGTCTCTGCACAAAGCTCTGTGGCCTGTGATAGGAAGGAGATCAGCCCAGCCAGCCCTTCTGGGTTTAATCCATGAAATTACCGCCTTCAGTCAAGGCCTCATTCTAACAAGATTATTTGAACAATTTCCATGGACCAAGTTCTTCTTTTCAAAAGAGAAGAAGTGCTTTTATAAAAGCACCATTCAGTGACCTATCCAGTGCAGACAATGCCACACTAAAATTTACTGGAGAACATTCAGTGGGAATTAAAAAGCAATTTTTCTTCAATCTTATAAACTAAACGTCTCTATTTTTACATAAACAAAATAGCATTTTAAACCCAAGATTTCATGCAGCATTTTTACTTCCAGTTAAAAAAAAAAAAGCAAATTTACTTATTTTGAACTAAAATGTCCTGTGGTTACCATTACCTGGGATCCATATAATCCCAAATGCAAACCCTCAGATACGCAGAAAAATTAAGCTTATGTTAGAGGGGCCAGTACCAAACTGAATTGTTTGACTAAAAGAGGGTGAGTATCTGTGGCAGCAAAGATCTGTAGTGACAAAGACTAGTCAGAAAGTGACTAGATTTGACAACAAGTCAAATCTGTAACTTTGTAAAAAGTTATAATATCTGTAACATTCTTGCCAGCTTTATATTTCTGCAGGATTTGATGACTGGACATCTGTTTTGAAATCCCAGGGGGAAAAAGTGCTCTAAAGTATTCTCCATTGCTATAGCAAAGTTCAGCTTTTCAGAAAAAGCAGCTGCTGAATTTTCTGGAATAAACACACAAACCATTTTAAAGACTTGACCCTTGATTCCTTCATCACAGGACTTCTAGGGACTTCAGGGAAGTCTCCAAGTATGAGGAACACACAATGGGCTCTGATTCCACAGTGTTGAGCTAACTAGGCTGCTTTTCAGTCACATAAAGCAAAGCAGCCTCCTCACAGCTGTGCTGTTTTATATACCTGAAAGACAATTTTGAAAATTATCATGGTCTTACTGGGGAATTTGGATATGCAGTCATTACTAAATTACCATAAAGTTCCATATTACCAATTCTGTCATTACTGAACAGCTTCAAGACACACAGTATCTTTGTGCTTCATCTCTTCTTCTCGCTGTAAGAAAACAAGAGTATATGAATGACAGCCAAAATGAAGCCAAATGTACTGTTGAGAAACTTAGTATTCTCTTATTTCTAGGAGAGTTACAGTGTAATTCTAAACTGCAGCATTCAGCATGTCTCCTGAGCTTCCTCGCTGAAATATAGCAATGGAAATTTTACAGCATCTGTGTTGCTTTTGGAAGCCATCACCTCACATCTGCTGTCTCTGTAGTGTAAAGTTTAAGTTCAGCATAAAAAGGTACTTTGTAAGAGGCAAGAGGAATCCTGACAGAGCGGTAATTTACAGACTCGCCCGGCTCCCCCGACTAGACTCACTCAGTTTTACATTCTGTGGAGATTTTTAAATAAGGTGCACTTCAAGCAGCCACCACACAAAAAAAGTCACTTCGTAAAATGGAGCATCGCATCTAGGACTGGAGACTTTTTAAACCTCTATCCCTTACTGAGTCCTGTGCCAGATGTTTTCTTCACCGGGCATTGTTCGATCTCCTAAGACTTTTCACAATGGCGTTAACTAAATTAGTGCTAAAATAACTATCCGTTACTTTAGGGAAAGTTCTGATTGCGGTCACAACCATCACCGCGCGGGTAACAGCGGGACCGACCGCCCAGTCCGAGCAGGAGGAGGAGCGCGGCCTCGGCCCCCGGGAGCTTCCCAGCCCGTGAGACCGGGGCGGGCGCGGGGTCGGGAGCGGCGCTCGGTCAATTGCAAATCAATTGTGGTCACACAGCGGGCGCGTTTATCGCCCCATCATCGCCCATTTCCTCCTATCGGGGTAATCCGCGCGTTCGCTCACACGGCGACAGCAGCCTGTTGGCTCAGCCAACAACCCGGGGATTGTTCCTTGTTTGGCCTCACGCGTTCCATTTCCTCCCCGGGCGCCCCGCACCGCCCC